CGCCTTACTCCTTTGAGCCACAGATGCCGCCCTCTGGCTTCCTTTCTGACCGCAGTCCTCCAGCTTCCTCTCCCCGTGTGTCAGACAGGCTCCTGCCACGCTTGCTGTCCTCTCTGGAACAATCTTTCCAGCTATCATCATGGCTGGTTTCCTCACCTCCTTTGGGTCCACTCACATGTTCATTTCGGGGGGGAGGGTTCCCTGATCACCCAGGAGAAAGTTGAACCCTATCCTCACTGGCTGTAATTCTCCTTCCCTACTTTATTTTTGTGCTTATCATTTCCTTCCATCTAAAGTACTATATATTCACTTATTTATTTCATTTCCTATCTGTATGTTACCATTAGAATGTAAATACCATAGGGCAAAGCATTTTTTCCATTTTGTTTATAGTCAATAAATATTTGCAAGATAAATGAATATTGTAGGGTAGGTAATTAAATCCTGTCCATCTTATTTATTGAGTGCCTCCTGGGCACGCCAAGGGTCTATAACAATCTATACCTGATCAAGTCTGTCCCCCAGAGCCTTACATATAGTCTAGTAGTCAGGAGAGTGTTGTGCACAACCAGTTGTAACAAAAGTCAGAGTAAGTAACACAAAGGACCAGGTAAGATGTTATCAGAGCCGTGAAGGCACAACTTGGTTAACAATAATCTAATGGGGGTAAGCACTTGAATTTGGTCTGGGTGGGTGGAAGAAACTTCTCCCAGGTAGAAGAAGGTTAAAGGGAGTTTGTAAGTTAAAGCACAGAAGTAAGAAAGCATGGAGTGGGTGGTGGGGTGATTTCAACTGAGAATCAAGTACATGAAGAGAAGGAGTGGAACCTTGAGCTGGAGCTACATTAAGGGGGACATTAATGTCAAGTGTGAAGCAGGCAACAATGTGGTTTAGGAAGATTCTTCTAGTGGTGGTGTGGGGGACGGATTCCAGGCAGGTGGTGGGGTTAATCAATGAGGATGTAGGGAAACCAGTAGAGGCTACTGCTGAGGTCTAGGCAATGCAGATAGTGGAGTAGACTATTCTGGTGGTAGGAGGAGGTAGATGGATGCGGTAGACGTGGTCGAAGTAAAATCAGAAGACTTGCTTACTTATGAGTATAAGGGAAGAGGCGAAGATAACTCCCAATCTTGGCATTGAGCTTGATAGTGAGCTCCTTATGAGCATGCGCTGTTGTCCACCTACCCAGCTAGTAAAGGTTTATTTTTCATGTTTAGGGTATCAATCTCTGTCCTGGGCACTGGTGCACCAGAGACACATAGGGCATGACTGTGGCCTTCAGGGTGCTTATATTCTGTGGGGGAAGACATAATTAGAACAGTATGACAGGTTTGGTGACAAAGCTAACTACAAGGTGCTGTGGGGAAGAGGGAGGAGAAGAGGGGCACCGAACGCATCTTGACAAGGAGGTCAAGGGGGACTCATTCATCTTTGTATACATTTCTGTCTCCATAGTGCCTAACATGGGGCTTCAGACATAAGAAATGTTTGACATGTGCCAAACTCCATTAATAGAGAAGATAGGAAGAGGGGTGTGTGTGTGTGTGTGTGTGTGTGTGTGTGTGTATGTTAGTACGGGTTGCTGAAGAGGATGAATTGTTCCAGACTTGTTGATCAGAGGTGCAGTGAGTCATAGGTCTGAAGATTTCCAGCAAAATATAGGAAAGAGATAAGAGCTGGAGATGACAGCGGAAGATAGTGGATGATGAAGTGTAAATCTCTAGGCGATTATCAGTGTTTGGAGGCAGAGAATGCATCCTGGCTGAAGAGGTTA